AAGAGAGAGAGATGACGCCAAGCCCTTTGAGTTTGTTTAGCCGCCTCTGTCTGGCGCTCTGAGTTAGTCAGCCTCGCGAGTTAACTAGCAACGAGAGTGAGCCCTGCACCAAGCGACGCGGGCTCGCTTCCTGGCAAAATCCTGCTTTTCTTCTCCCTTTCATGAAGGACTTCGCCCTCTGTCAGCCTTTTGTTTAGTTTCTCTCTCTCTCTCTCTCGTTTTTTTATTGTGGTAAAATGTATCAAATAAAATCATTGACATCTTAACCGTTGAAGTGTGCAATGACTCGGTGGTGTTCGTTGCACTCACAATGAACCCAGATGTGCACTCAGTTACAAGGCACCAGCAGCTCGGTGGCCAAACGACTGGTCCGTCTGCTCCCAGAAAGACAGCCGCTTCGGACACTCGATGGAGCCATTTTGCTCTGCCCTGTTGGGCCACTGAGGGGCAGAATCAGCTGGACAACACACATCAGTGGAATCAAATGCCATGTTCCTTCCCTAGGCAGGCCAAGGAAACACTCCTCATCCAGGGATTCTGATTCTTAGGGATGTCTGAGACACCCCGAGATAGAGCCAGGGCCTTCTTGGGCCCTAGAGACTGGGAAGGCTCCTCTAAGGTGTGCCTAGGGTGTGGCCATTTAGAGCGGGGGAAAGGGTGCATATGCCATCTCGTTTGGGGAACTAGACCCGTAGCTGTAGCCTTTAAAAAGATCGATGTGTCTATATGTCTTTCTAATGCTATTCTACGTTTTATTTTGTTTTTCTAGGATTTTGGAGAGTATCAGGAAAGCTACTATTCAGTACAGACAACTGAGGGGGAGCAAATATCCCAACTGATTGCAGGCTACATCGACATCATCCTCAAAAAGGTATTTCTCGTTGGTTCTGTGTATTAAAGGGCTCAGCTTAGATGCCATAAACACTTTCATATGACGGTGCCAATAGCAACCTTCCTTGAAAGATTTGATTTCGTTTCCTGGGTAACAAAGGTACTTGGGAGTGGCAAGGATATCTAAGTTGGTTACTGCCAGGCAGCGAGCAGGCGCACGTACATGGTCAGTGGGCCTAGCAGACGCCTCGCCGTCCTCCTGTCCAGGGGGCTGTGTCGTGCTCTCGAGCCTTTGTAGCTAACCAGACTGAGTGCCCAGAAAAGGCATCCGTGGTGTTCATGTATTTTCCCACCAAGGGTACCAGAGCGACGTTGTCGGGTAAGTATCGGATTGCTAAATGAAAGGTCTGTGGATCAGGCCTGTCAGTCGTGCCTTGCAAGAAAATTGAAGCTCTCTGCTCCTTTAATGATGTATAAGCCTCAGAATCTACACAGGGTCCCTATGAGTCAGAATGGGCCCACGACAGTGGATTTTTATATGCCATAGTGAGGTGGCCTGGTAGCACAGGGATTCCAGTGCTTGGCTGCTAGCAAAAAGGTTGATGGTTCAAAGCCATCAAATCCACACTTCATGTGGGGGGAGTGTGGTATCCTATGGATTGCTATGGGTCAATACTGACACTTCACAGAAGTGAGTCATAGGCCCTGCTGGAAACACAAGTGCCCGGGGCTTCAAGTCAAAACACACCCCTTAACTAAGATCTACCCCTTAACTATGAAAATGTGCAGCCGCATGTTAACTGTGTAAAACTAGTCTAAGGAGCCCTGCTGCCGCAAACACTGAAATGCTCAACCACTAGCCAAAAGGTGGATTTGAACCCATCTAGTGACTCCACAGGAGAAAGACTGGCTCCCATAAAGACGACACGCAAGAAAACTGGAGGGGGCAGTTCTCCTCTGTCACACGGGGCCCTGTGAGTCAGAACTGATTCGGCCGCACCCAACGACATCAACGCAGTGGCGTGTGCGCAGAGAGAGGAAGAAGGAGAGGGAGGAATCGCGAAGGATGGACAAACTGAAGGATGGACAAACTGGACGGCACCCACAGCGTTCAGCCGTCGTAGCTGTGGCTCTGGCTGCGTGGTGAAGGGGCCACGTGTTCACTGAGGCGATGGCCCACACAGTCCAGGTCCCTTGCTCTTTGCTGTGTCGTGCTTGCTGACCATTTGGTTTCATACAGACGATATTGTAAAGATGTACAGTCCTGACTGGTACTGTTCTTTCTTTATAAGCCAAGCTGTGCTTTAGCAAAAAGGAAGCCTCGGGGAGTAGTTTCAGTCCAGGGTTTATGGAATAGGTCAGGGTGATACCGTCCCAAAAGAAAAAACCGAAAAACAAGGTCATGGCCGTCAAGTTGCTTCTAAAACATACTGAGCCCATGGGACAGAGTAGAACTGCCCCTGCGGGTTTCGAGATAAAACTTTTTACGAGAGTAAAAAAAATCTCCTCTTTCTCCCTCGGCGGCTGATGGTTTCCAAGTGTTGACCTTGAGGTCAGTAGCTCAACTCGTAACCTCCTCTTGGTGGTGTCATAGTTACCCATTGGGTTGCTAACTGCAAGGTCAGCGGTTCAAAATTACCAGCCCCTCCGTTGGAGAAATAAGAGGCTTTTCACCCCTACAGAGTTGCAGTCTCAGAAAACCACAAGGTCGTCCTACTCTGTCCTACATGTGGGGCTGCCATGAGTCAGGGTGGACTCAGTGGCAGTGCGTTGGGTTTCCTTTTTCTTGAGACGGTCTCACCCTGACCTCTTCCATCAACCTTGAACTGAAGCTGCCCCTGGAGGTCACCTTTGTGCGAAGGAACAGCTTGGCTCAGAAGAAAGAATGTCGCTAGTCAGTACTGCCCATCTTTAAATCATTACCTGTGGGAAACCAAATGGTCAACAATTGCTACAGAGCCAAAAAGATATAGGGTAAGGAATTGGGGAAGCCCGATCACTGGACACAGAACACGCAGAGTGGACTGCGTGAGAACGTGAACATGCTATGAACAGGAACCCATGTGCGGGGATTGTGCGGTGGGAGTTTCACTTGCTGTGTCCATTTGAACTGAAAACATAATCAAATATTAATTTTAAAATTTAAATCTGTACCCTAATGAATAGCAAAGGCATCATAGATATTGAGTAATGGGCTTTGGGGGCCCTATCTTTTATGGAGATAGTCAGTTGAAGAGAGGCAGGGTAGACAGGAACATGTTTTTCTCCCTTCGAGTCTATGTCAAGATCTGCTAATGCTCACACTTGTGTCTTGTTTTATCTCCAGAAACAAAGCAAAGATAGATTTGGATTAGAGGGTGATGAGGAGTCTACTATGTTAGAAGAATCTGTCTCCCCCAAAAAGTAAGTATGGTACGAGGACTTCAGAACTGCCCTCTCCCCGTGTGGCCAGGCATCTCCTGCCAATGCGGAGGCCTGTGGATGGGTAGATGAGTCTTGCTACTCATCTTGCCGGTCCCCGGGCCAGCAGCTTCACTGTGTGGGCTGAAAACGATGTGTTCTTTAGCTCCCTTTTTGGAAGCGCCGAGCACCTGTGAGTCCCGTGCTGTATTTCTGATGTAAATCTCATGAACTAGGTTCACTGCCAGGACCTCTTTTACTCTCCGTGCTGCCTTGAGGAAGTTACTTAATCTCTCTGCCCCCGTGATCTCATCTGTAAAATAGGGACAATGATTGTACTTTTGTTTCGATGAATCTAGGTGTTATTCTGATCACTGAGTTACTAAGAAAGCACACTACAAACGTGTGACACATAGTAAATATTTGCTATTATAATCATGGTTGCCGTCATTATTTTACATTGCAGCACAGTCTACATTCAGCCCCACTTTATAAAATGGTGAAACAGATTTGTTGAAGCTTGGCCAAAGATACTGAGTGATACTTCCTGGGAAGCCTGTGTGGGGACCCTCTCCCCTCTCTGTCAGATACTAGAAGAATGCGGCATTTTTTGTTTGTTGATGCTTCACCATGTGGGTCTAATGGGCTGACTTACATGGTCCCAATAAAAACCTCCTGTTGCGAGGAACGGGCCGGAAATAATGATCTCCAACTCCGGGAGAGAGCTGAAGCTTGTCGAAAGAAGTTGGTTGATATATGCACACATGGCAGAGCCTGGACTCAAAGTCTCCGCTTGCATCGTTTCCCGTAGTACACTGCCAGAAATGTATTGAATTGAGAGTCAGCGTCCCTCTAGCCTCGCTAGGCGTCCTACCACTTCCTGTCACAGTTTCTTTACTGCCCTCCTGATGGTGCTTTCTTCTCTGTCCCCGATTCACCTACAAGTCGGAAACACCTGACGTCATGCGTTTCAAGTATTTGCTTCTCATGTCCTTGGCGGGGTTGATACCCCTTAGATGGAAATTGATGAGTGCAGGCTTGCTGGTAGGGTGAGCGGTTCACTCCAGAAGACCCTGCTGGACTTGCACTGCTCATAGCCACCTAAGGGTGTGGTCCGCTGCAGCCCCCTCACAGCTCCTACGACATCATCTTGGGGTTTGTTCGAGGCAGAGAGGGAGAGTACTCCAGTGGATCCCCACCACCTGACCTTCCACTTCTCCCTGTGATGGATGGTTACTGTCAGGAAACTTCCTGTTGGCACCCCAGATTCATGCTCCACAGTGCCATCTCATGCAGACATTGAGGGGTAGCTGCAAAGATATCCACCGCTTGGTGACCTGTCGATTCCCATGGCTCGTGAGCTTCACCGTGAACATTTGGGGGTGATCTATGATGTCTCAAGAACCATGGGGCAGAGACACCCTTCCTGCCCCTTAATGCAGCTGTATACCAACCCCTCCCCTGAAAAAACACACCAGCCCCTTCGACAATCCCTGTGGGTCTGTCATCCACTACTGCAGCAGACATGTGCTCTCAGATCTCATTCTGACCGTCAACTAGCCAGTGTCCTTTGTGTTTACTATGTACTCGAAGAGTAAAGTGAATCATTTTTGGCCAGACGGCCTAGGGACCTTTCCAGACTTGAGCGGAAGTCATTTGGAAGAGGTACCAGTCTGTCATACCCTCAGCGCTCCAGACAATTAAACACTCTCCCTGGTCAATGGCCAGGCCAGCGAAGGGCGTGGGAGATTTTCAGTTCATATCCACATAGTTCCCCTTTCAGATGCAGGATAAATATTTTCTGCCATCCCCAGTACCTGGAGCAGAGGGTGGGACCCAGTAGATAGTTGACTAAATGCTGTTTCTGGTAGGATTTACCAAGGCCGGGTGTACGGATTCAAAACTTAGATTTATACCTGGAGAAGATCATTGTTGTAGAAGGGTAAAGACAGACAGACAGACAGACAGATAGATAGATACTAGGTGGGTCAGTTTTATAATCCCATAAACCTTGCATGGATAAATTAAGAGTGATTATTTTATATTCTATATTGCAGTTAGATTGCTGATTATAAAAGGTTTCATCCCAAGGTTCGTCTACTGAGCATGTTACTGCTACTGCTTCAGGTGTAAGCTCTATTTGTTTGTGCCTCCCTTAAACCGGTCTCCACCGCAGAAAGATGACATTTGCAGCATTGTCATACTACACTCCACGTGGGCGGCTTCTTCACAGTGCTCCAACCCTCTCCCCTGCAGGTCCACCATCTTGCAGCAGCAGTTCAATCGCACCGGGAAGGTGGAGCATGGCTCCGTGGCGCTGCCCGCCGTCATGCGTTCGGGCTCCAGTGGACCCGAGACCTTCAACGTGGGTAGCATGCCCTCCCCGCAGCAGCAGGTCATGGTTGGGCAGATGCACCGAGGCCACATGCCCCCTCTGGTGAGTCACCTTGTACATTCCCCGGGCTTGTCGGTAGCTGCTGGTGTTGTACAGAAAGCAGCCCCAGCCAGGGGGCAGGTTGTATGTGGATCCAGCCTCCCTGGCCCCCAACTGAACCTCGGCCCATTTAGCTGTGCACTGCCAATGCCTTCCTCCCAGAGAGATTCCTTTCTGAGCATGTTCAGAGAGCCAGATCTGGGCTGTGGGCCATCGCTTGCTGACGGCTCAGAACATTATTCGGTACTACAGTCCTTCGAGGTGAGTGTATCAGATGCAGCCTTTGAATCAGTGACTGATCGCTGCACATGAGTCACCTCCCAAAGTGGCTTACTGATGGGAGGGTGAACCCGGCTCCCCTGCCTCTGCAGCCGCAAACTGATGAGCCCGGCCACTCCTCAGAGAGCCTTTGAAATAGACCAAACCGTTACCAATCCAGCCCTCTCGCCAGACATACACTTGACTCCTCTCTGCCCAGCTGTCAGTGCCCCCTGCCCGGCTTCGGGCATCCTGTGCTGCTGGACAGTAACTTGCTGAGAGCTGGAGCGCCTCAGAGCTCAGAAATGATGGAGTCTGACAAAGAATGTTGCCCGCGGCTGAGGGTGGAATCCTTAGGGATGGATCATGAAATGTTTTGGTGTAACGCACCGGGCTTCTTAAGCATGAGATCATTGTCCACCGAAAGGCAAGGCCTCCATCCACTCACTGCCCCGGCAAAGTCTCCCCATTGAGCATGCCTGTCGGCTAATTAATTTAACCTCACTACACTCTCCTGACTCTCTTTCCTCTATTGGTATGCTATTGATAAAGTATGTCTATTTCTGGTCTCCAAGTTCAAATGGGGGAGGGGGGTATTTAAGGTGGCTCTTTAAGCCAGAGTGCAGTCTGGCCGGGTTCTGTGTTGAGGGCATGTCAGTCCTGATCCTGTGGTATGACCTTCTGCTTTGCAGACCTCGGCCCAGCAGGCCCTCATGGGGACCATCAACACGAGCATGCACGCTGTCCAGCAGGCCCAGGACGACCTCGGCAAGGTCGACTCACTGCCCCCGCTCGGCCAGGATATGGTAAAGACCGTCTGCAGTTTTCACTCCGGCATGAAACCCAGCAGGACCCAGGTGTATGCCCTTTGGAAATGAGAGAGAGAGAGAATCTAGATTACAACCAGAGAAAGAGAGAATTGTCAATGAGACTGGCAGACTGTAATACTGCTATCTCCTGCTCCGGGACTGTATAGTCTAGCTGCACTGCCCACTGGCTCTGTGAACGTGGGCCCCCTAACCTGCAACGACCCCACTTCCTTATCTTCTATAGACCAGTTCAATGAACCTCTTTTGCTGCCTAGGGCTATTTGGATATTTATAACATTATTCTTGGGCCATTACAAATGTGTCAACTTAAAAATTAGTCTGCAATACTTGGTCAAACATTGAATTAATTAACACACACCTCTAATGTGATGGCCAAAATGACTTTGTGAGGTGTGTGGGATTAGCTGGTATTGATGATTTCTTAGCACACAGTGTCTGGCACAGAGTGAAAAATGAGGAACCAGACTCACGCTCTGGCGTCTGTTTGGACTCATCGTGACCGGATAGGACAGGCTGGAACTGGCCCTGTGGATTTCCGAGACTAAGTCTTTATGGGAGGAGAAAGCCTCATCCTTCTCCCGAGGAGTGGCTGGTGCTTTCGAACTGCTGACCTTATGATTAGCGGCCCAAGGCGTAACCACTGTGCTACCTGGGATCCTTGGCACATAGTAAGAGTACCTGTGGTTGCTACTCGTGGTTCTTGCACTGCGGTGGGCATCAGAATCCCTTGGAGGGCTTATTTAAAGATTGCTGGGGCCCATTCCGAGTTTTTTCAGACTCGCTAGGTATGGAGGAGGCCTGAGAATTTGCATTTCTATCAAATTCTCAGGTGCTGTTGCTGCTACTTGTCAGAGGACCACACCCTTGAGACCCATAGGCTTAACCTTCCTGAAGTTTTCTTCCTTTTAAAAAAAATCATTTTATTGGGGGCTCTTACAGCTCTTATCACAATACACCCATCCATCCTTTGTGTCGAGCATATTTGTACATTTGTTGCCCTCATCACTTTTGAAACACTTTCTTTCTACTTGAGCCCTTGTATCAGCTCCTCATTTTTTCCCTCCCTCCCCCACCTTCCCTCCGTCATGACCCTTGATAATTTATAAATTATTATTTTTCATGTCTTTCACCAACTGCTGTCTCCCTTTACCCACTTTTCTTTTGTCCATCCCCCAGGAAGGGACTTATATGTCAATCATTGTGACCGGTTCCCCCTTTCTCCTCCCACACCTTCCCCTCCTGGTATCTCTACTCTCATTATTGGTCCTGGGGGGTTTAACTGTCCTGGATTCCCTGTGTTGTGAGCTCTTATCTGTACTAGTGTACGTACTCTGATCTAGCTGGATTTGTAAGGTATTATTGGGGTCATGATAGTTGGGGGAAGGAGCATTAAAGAACTAGAGGAATGTTGTATAATGATACTATACTGCACCCTGACTGGCTCATCTCTTCCTTGTGACCCTTCTGTATGGGCATGTCCAATTCTTACTGAAGTTTGTAGCAGGACAATCAGTAGGGAGGTCCCTTGTAGCTGCTGCTTTAGGGAATCACCTTAGCCCTGCACTATGTAAATTGTGATCCATGGGCCTGGTATTCTGCATTTTAGTAAGGTGCATTCAAGTTTGAGCAGCATCAGCTACCACGTCATGCGGAACTGGGCTTTGCACATTCAACTCACCTCCGTAGTCTATTTTTAAAGTCCAGGGCCAATGTCAGACAAAACTCCAGGTGCTTCCAAGAAGTAGCCAGCCTGGATCACCACTGCTGTGCTGCAAGTCTGACCTGTGCCGTCTCCAGGCGAGAATCAGTGGGCCTTTGTATCCCGTTTTTTTTTAAATGGTTATCTCGGCATATAATTCACATATACCATTCAGTAGTTCACTCATATGAAGAAGATTTGTATGATTTATGCACACAATCCATTTTAGAACATGTTCTTCTTTCTATACTCCTGGTAGTTAGCATTTCCCCCCAACCTCCCCTCCCATACCCCCAAGAAACCATTGGTTCAGTTACTGTCTCTATAGGCTTTCACATACAGAAAAATATGCAAAAATCAAAACAAACCTAAAAACCATAACAAAGTAAAACCAAGAAAAATGTCAATCGCAGAGATCATAAGAAATTAGGACCAATTTAAAATGGGTCAAGAGGAGATCCAATAATAAAGTGCTAAATGTTAACCTAACTGCATCTGCAGGGATCCACTCTCCAGTGCACTCTCCTGACAGCAAGGGTGTTCACCTCCCTGGTCTCTGGATTCCCTGGAGGCTTCATCCGTGTGCATATCCCCTTCACTTTGAGGTTTGCTCTTTTAACAGAAACAACTTTAAGATGGGACAAAAGTGTAGCCCCATCTTGCCTGCCCGCCGGGATAACTGCCCTCCACATTCTCCCTCAAGGCCTGGGCTCCCCTTTGTGTGCCTCTGTGCATGCGCAGGGCTGCTGCGCCCTCCCCCCCCCCCATGCTGTTTCTCTCCAGTGTGGAAATCATGAACCATCACACACAGGTGGGAAAGTCTGTGGCCCACTCCTGTATCTGGCACAATTAGGAAATGGAGTTTTGACCTATTTGAATTTAATGTCCCTGAAAGTCTAAAGAATTTCCAAAGAAAGTCCAAAGTCCAAACGAACATCCTAAGCCCACCATAGCATTTAGGGGGATGTTTTTGGGAAGCATCAGCACCTTCAACCTCTGCAGGGCATCGTTATCAATGTAAATGAAGGTAACGTGCCGAAATGCCGGGAATTAGAGAATGTGCTCATAATGAGTTCCAGTGACATCGAGTATGAAGAGCTAGAAAGGTTTTTAAAAGATCATTGAGCTCCTACACTACTAGAAAATGAAGGCACGGGACGTGGGCCTGACCACCCATGGTCGTGTTCCTTGCTAGTGGTAGAGTTGGATCCGGACTGGGGTCTTGACAGCCCCTCGAAGCTCTGCCCGGAGAGGCTCTACGTCTACCAGCGTGGCCCTTTAACCCTCTGGATGTGATTCGTGTCGGGAACAGGAGATACTGCCTGTGTGGACAGAGAACGCCTGTTAGCGTCCCCAGCCTAACAGAAAGTGGGTGAAAGTTAGCCGCCCCCAATAGCATTGATGTGCTAGTAAAATTAGACCTTAATTCTTCTCCCTCATTTTCAGATGAATTGATCTATACAAAGCCACAAAGAATTGTTCTCCATAAGATCTCAAAAACAGAAGTGGGGGAGTAGTCACTATAAGAAATTGAAAATTGATGTGCCATTCAGCTGCAATGAATAAGCGGAAAGAGACCTACATTGTTTAAGGCAACAGCGTGACCCTGCTAGTTGCTGACCCAGGATGAAATTGTAGCCTTTATCATGTGGTGGCAAGGCTCCCCTGGTTTCCTGCGTAACTCTGTCCAGTGATTGTGTCATGCAATTGTCTGTTTTGCAGGCATCTAGAGTGTGGGTTCAGAACAAAGTCGACGAATCCAAACATGAGATCCACTCTCAGGTCGACGCCATCACAGCGGGAACAGCGTCAGTTGTTAACCTCACAGCCGGTAAGTCTCTGGGTAAAGATTTGTGATGGCTTTCTTGTGCTTTTGTCCAAAAAAAAAAAAAAATCAAAAACACCTTACTCATTGATTGAAACAACAGATTTTCATATTATGAGAGTCCAGGCTATTTTTAGGAACTTGGAGTGTGTTGGGCAGTTTCTCCCACTGACCCAAGAGACGTGTGGGGGGAATTGCATTCTTCCTGGTGTATGTCATGCATCGTCGTTGCTGAGTCCTTCTCGTTGTTCGTTAACATGCTGGGAAGCCTTCAAAGCGCAGCCAGTCAGTCTGCGTTCTGCCTTCTGGGAACGGAAGTCTGCCTTCTTAGGAGGAGATCGATGTCTCCGTCCAGCCTTGTGTCAGCACGTGGAAGCAGGGGACTACTTTTACTTCCTCCTGCAGCATTTCCTCCCTGACCTTCCTGTGCTCCTGATAGGGGCCTAAAGAAGAGGGCTGGGAGGTGCTGACACTTCCTCTGGAAAGTCAAAGTGCTGGTCTCAGTGGCCCAGTGCTGCTGTCCCAGAAAGTCTATAGGCGGGTGCCTCTAAAGAACAAGAATTTCTTTCCAAACATCCCGGAGGCTGAAAGCTCACACTGTGGGCCCAGCCCCGCGCACGCCTTCTTTGTCGGCCTTCTTGAGCATCCATCCGTCCGTCCGTCCGTCTTTCCGTCCGTCCGCCCGTCCGCGGTGCTTGATGATGTTCACATGGCACCTGTCCTCCCGAGTCAGGGCTTCCATCCCCCCGTCTGTGCCGCTGTTTGCCTAACTCGGGAGGGATTCGGTGTGGGATCCACTCTACACTAGTTTGACCTCAGCTCGTTAATCTGATATGTTGCATTAGACTGCATCATGGAAGGCCATTACATTACAACCATAGGGACAGGAGTCAGGATTCCAACACGTATTTGAGGGGCTCTATTGAATCCATAAGGGGGTGCTCATGTGCAATGTTTCGATACATGAGGTTTCAAGGTGAGAAGGTTTTCTGAAGGGTAGCACCCAGGAGGCCCTATGGATCACAGCAGTCAGGTCAGTTATGATTGGGGTTGCCTTGAGTCCAGTCAACTCAGTGGCCGTTAACACCACCACTGCTGCCACCACTTTCCCCCTGGAAGCTGGAGCTGGCCATCTCGCTGTGCTCCTGAAGGATGGTGAGTGGAAAGTGGTGGTCAGTGTGGGGTTTTGGAAACTCTCACTAGTACCACTTACATCCTTCCCACTGGGGCCTTCTTAGCTCTCACTGCTGCAGCACACTGGACGGTGACAATCCTCCTCTCTCCCAGGTGACCCGGCGGACACCGACTACACCGCAGTGGGATGTGCAATCACGACAATTTCTTCCAACCTGACGGAGATGTCCAAGGGCGTGAAGCTGCTGGCAGCCCTCATGGATGATGAGGTGGGCAGCGGGGAGGACTTGCTGAGAGCTGCCAGGACCCTCGCTGGGGCAGTGTCGGACTTGCTGAAAGCTGTACAGCCGACTTCTGGAGAGGTGAGCTCTTGGGGCAAGCAGTCACTCAGGTTCTGTGGGAACCAGTGCGTGCTCGGGGTACCGTGAGGCTCTTGTTTCCTGAGCTGGCCCTCCATCCTCTTGGGGCCTGTTACTGGTAATCCAGAAGCGTGGAATTGTGGGTCTTGATACAGAAGCTACTGCAGAGTCCTGGGGAGTGGTTGTGGTCCTCCTATGAACCTCCACACCCAAGGACACTTACATGCAGGCAGCTCCAGAAATGAATACGCATGACTTATGCGTGTTTAGTAGGGACATGTATTTGAACCCTGATTTTTGTTAAGATAATAATAATCACATCATCTCGGTGGAACTAACCTCATCATTGCAACATTTTAAATCTGCCCACCTATTCCTGGCTTCTGAGCATTGGGTGCTGCCTTATGCAGCTTCCACAAGGACATGCATGTGTCCTTTCTGGCCGACAGTGTAAGACCACCCCACTGAGGCCCAGGAGGAACTGATCCTGCGGGATTCTCCTTTCTGCATTGCAATGTCTGATGCGATCTCGTGGGGAGGGGGGGATGCATTTCCTTTCCAACCAAAGTGTGTTCTTTGCTCGCAGCCTCGGCAGACAGTGCTGACTGCCGCTGGAAGTATCGGACAAGCCAGTGGAGATCTTCTGAGACAGATTGGAGAACATGAGACGGATGAACGATTCCAAGTGAGATATTTGCTTACATACTGTAAGATACAGGACTGAGGCGCTGTGTGTCTCAGACCAGGGTGGAGACACCTTACAGGCAGTGTCTGAGTTGAGAACAGGTGACTATGGACCACTCCTACTTGCTCTCCAAGGTAGGGCTTCCAACCAGTCCTGTCATTGCAGGAATCCAAACAGGAACAGACCGGAATTTTTACAATGTGGCTGCCCCATCATCCTAACTGGAGCAGGGTAAACTATGGGCCGAGGTCTCATTGTAGGACAAGTCTTAGAAGAGGCAGAGTGAGCCCTTCCAGGACGCTGGAGCGTAAAATTAGATTATAGACTGAACTCTGGATGGTGGCACCCATTCAAATTTTACCACCAACTTTGAAGGGGGCACGGCCATCCTTGAATGGGGGGCCACCGTCGTGAAGCCCTGCTTGAACGTCACATAAACGTGTCCTTGTTTTGAAATGGTCGAAATCGCCTTCATGTGCTTTCCACGCGGCGGCGTTTAAACGATTGGCAAGCCCTGCCCTTTCCCTTGCCCTGAAGCCAGGCTAAAGAAGAGCGGAATGTACCCGTCAGCGACTTACAGATTCTTGAAGGCCCGGCACCGGCTCTTGTTCGTGACCCAGAAAAGCAAATGAGACCCTCCCTGAGCCATCACAAATGCGATGGCAACATACTGTCTTTGGCATGAGCTCCATTGTGTTTTTAGAATAGAAAAGCCCTACGGACCCCCAATAAAATGATTTAATTAAAACCAATAGGAAAGCCCACTCTAGGACATTGTGCAGTACCACAGAAATACACTAATTAGTTCTTCCCTTGTCAACATTCTGGTCATGCTTCAAACGCCGTTGTGGAGAGGTTGGTGTCATGGGCCCCCTGTGTCTCCCACTCTTCTTTTACTGTGATCAGTTTCCTAACCAAGCTTGTTTATTGAGGAGTGGTTTTTAGTTGCTTCACTCTTGAATCCAGGTGTTAGGGGGAAAGTATGGACACACGTAATGTAGGCTTCTCTTCGTTTTCAGAGGGGGCTCTGTGTCCCACCCCAAACCACGAGTTTGGAGGAGAGACTTTTTGTGACCTTTCTTTTTCAATATTGTCTGTCGTCTGGTGAGCAGCCGGCTCGGTGTACTGCTCATGTCACCTCTGCAGCTCAGACAAGCACGTAGCCTGGTCTGCCTCCCTCCGGCCCCCAGACACCAGAGATGGGCTGCCGGGCTTCCTGCGGGGGAGCAGCCCGAGATGGGCGTCTCTTCTACTTATGAGCAGGGGTCCTTCCCTCTCCGCTTCCTCCTCTCGTGTCTTCATTTTACCTCCTAATTAAAACATCACAGCTTAGCCCCGAATACCCCTGGGTGATGGTTTGTTGGTTTGTTTGTTTCCCCAAATAACCCAATGCCAAGTTTTCGGATCAAGAACTCTGCCGACCTTGATTAGCCTTGCCTTTTTGCGTGAGAGCAGGGATCTCCCAAGCAGTTGGCTAGATTTGAGACTGAGCTACTGGTCAGTAGGCTTCCCTGTCTTACGGTCACTCACTCACTTTCCTGAAAACCATGATCGCTGCCCCCTAAGTGTTAAGAGGGAAGTCACAATTCTGGCTTACGAGAGCTCATGCATTCTTGTGGTTCCTGAAGCGCTTGGTTTTGACGGCGTTTGGCAGGTTATTTTCCGTGAGATGAATGCTGACTGCTTCCTCGCGTTTCTTTCAGCTGAACACACGGAGCAGGGTGCTTCTGGGTGGTGGTCCTGTGCAGGCGATGTTCACCTAGAAGGGCCTGACTTCAATGTTTTCCCTGTCTGGAAGGTTTTGCTTTCTGTCAGGTGCTAATGCCAGCTTCTCCCCCTGTGGGTAGCCCCTGGCTTGCTGACTTTGGATTTCTTGCTCTCTACTTTTCTGATTTTGACATCCGATCTCGGAGCTTTTCCTGGGTTCTCAAGGGACTGCATGGCCCACAGTATGCAGATTGACTTGGCCTTGGCTGTGACCTCGTGGCCTGTGAAAGGCCTTGTCTGCAGCTGAAGTTGCACTGTCACGTTCTTGTTTTAACTGCATGCTTGGGCTTGCTTTGTTTGGGTTGTTGTTTTCCAAAATCAATCAATAGCCACAAGATTTCTTGAAACGCTGCCAACAAAACACTGTTATCACAATCTTGACTCAATTCTGGAACTCACTTTGAAAAGTTATTTTTTGAAATGTGTTTTCACTGGACCTTGAGCAAGGTGTCCAAGAACTACAGACCGTGTTGGAAGCTGTCCCTAAGAGCTATGTGCTAGCCAAGGGCCCGGCAAATCCCAAAGCAACTTCAAGCTTCAACACTGCACACTTGGAGTGCTCCTTGAATATTGAGCAGAGCATCAGAGACTCTAGAAAAGGCTTGATCTAGGCTATACCTTTAGCACGGTTTGGTTTTTTGTCGATTTTAAAACCAGCTGACACGGTCGAATCATAGGTGTTTTGGGGTTTTTTTGTCTAGATATGCGTAATCTTTGCTCTGTGGGAAACTACTCAGCCTTAGCACTCTTTCCAATAGGCCATTCTCATAAAACATCTTGTTGTAAAGGCTCTGTGGGTGTCCTTTGCATTTCGAATCAAAAGTGCTTTTTATTATCTGATGGATTAAGACTGCATTTTCCATGGGGGAGAAAGCCTTAACATGTCTGCACAAAATAAAAATGACTCATGTTCATGTGTGTGTATGTGTGTGTGTGAGAAGACATTTCCAAACCAAATAAATGACATTCAATATTAAAAGCAAGGAGGTAAATTGAATGTGACAGCAGTTACCCTTCAGATTAAGCGCACGGGGGACAAACTTGGTTGGCTGGATAAAGGGCCTATCAGCCTGCTTAGAGCTGCTTTTCCAGTGAATGGAAACATGCACTTAACTGTAAGGGGCCAGAGCGCCTCGCATCTTCAGTCGGGTCTTGTGCAGTTGGTTTCTTTACATAGTCTCTTTGCCGCTGTCCATAGTTGAAACCCTGTCCAGCAGGCTCGAGAATGCTGAGCTTCCTGTACGTTCAGAGCTCCTTGGCTCTTGAGCTGTTGAGGTGCGTCATGTGTGCGTGCATGTCCAACATTGCCCTCTGGAGGCAGAGACGTGGGTGAATTTCTGAGGATAACTTAAATCCCGAGTTAGAAGAGATGACTTTTCAAATGACAGTGGGCCATGACAACTGGCGGCCTTCTCATTGCAGATATTTGTCGCACCTGGGTAGATCGTCAAGTGTCTCCTGGTTCACCACATCAATATGTAGCCAAGAGATGTGGCAAAGATTCCTAGTGTCAGAGAAGGGCATGGGTGTGGATTAGTGGTTAAAGCTAATTAACCGGTGTCGGGTGCAAAGCTTCGCTTTACTCAGTGGCGTGTAAGAGGCAATGTTATTGGGATGCAAATCTCTTTGCTTCATCACTTGTGACGAGGAATTGACGTTTAAGGGAAATAAGTGGGGAAATAGCATTCTACAGTGCTCGAGGGAAAAAGATCAAATAGAAAAAAAATGTTTTTTCATGTTTCGGTAGAAGCCACTTTTTAATGCTCAGTCAACCACTTTTTAATGGTCGATGGGGGGTGGGGCAGAACCAGCGAATACATTTTGGTTTCCTTCTTTCAGGATGTTTTAATGAGTTTGGCCAAAGCTGTTGCCAATGCTGCTGCCATGTTGGTACTAAAGGCGAAGAACGTTGCCCAGGTGGCTGAGGATACCGTCCTGCAGAACAGGGTAATTGCTGCCGCCACCCAGTGTGCCCTCTCCACCTCCCAGCTGGTGGCATGTGCTAAGGTAAGCCTGCTGGCACCCCCTACCCTCCACAAAGCATCACGTCACCTGTTCTTCTTGCCTGCCTCTAGTCCCTGGGGTGGCTCAGAGACAGACATTGTTAAGTTGTTCAAGGCTGAGTGCGTGCTTCAAGTGTCTTCTTAGAGATAACGTGGTGGGGTTTTAGCCTAAACTGGCCAATTCCGCTTTTATCATTGTTCTTTACGCAAGTCCTCAGGCAGCTGGTGCTTTTTCTGCATCTTATCTATGGAAATCTCCATGCCTCCCCTCTGGACATCTCAGTACGTCTGATTTATACGTGCACACAAAGGGTGCTTGCGCTGAGAAGTGCAGTGTTATAGACAGGCTCAGAAATGATCCTCAGAATACCCAGGAACCTTCTCTAACGTGCAGTGTCAGAGTAAGGATATTCAGGTAGCTGATTAGAATGTGAACGCCCATTAAGTCTTCCCAGCATGCCCTCAAATGGAGCCCTCTCGTCCTCAGTTTATCCATGAGAACACTGATGTCCTCACATGGTAGCTAAATAGCTTGAGGCCACACAGGTTAAAATGGCAGGCTCGGGCTTGTGACTCAGGCATGTCTGGCTCCAGATCCCTTTCTGTTCCGACCTCCCCTACTGTCTCTAAAACACTGTATCAAGCAATGGGGGGTGGGGGGGGACACGTTCCTGGACTTGGGGATGCAGCATGTTCTTCAGACCTGTGAACTGGCAGCTCGCGGCCTTTTACATTGTGTGGCAGGGTTTGCACCATTACTGGGGCTGTCTGGTGTGGACCCCTTCTTTCGTCAGTGTCCCCTGATGGCTTGTTAGCGTCTCTTGGGGCCGAGTTCCAAGTATCTTTGGAAATAAACAAATACACTTTCCGTATGTGTTTTGCTCAGCCCAGTGCAGAACGAGCAGACATTTCTCTCCCTAGAAATAGCAATATTGATTGCCACGTATGAGAGGTCTCCAGAAAGTTCAAGGGAAAACTGCTGTCTTTGAATTCCATGTTTCCAGAAACTTCCTGAACCCTTCTTCAAACACGCACATGCACACACACACTGTGAAGCCCATTCAGATCTATACTAAGGAAGTGTATGGAGTAGGAACCCCTCTCAGATAGATGCTAATGGCGTGGGAGCTGCCTTCACAGTGGTTTAGTTTCGTCTCTGGCTCTGTATGTAAGGGATGAGGCTCAAGCCATGATGGGAACTCAGTGGAGATCCTAATGGACGCCGTGTGTCAGGGGTCAGCCCGCAGGGCCCCAAGCCTGCTCTTGTCTCCCTGCAGGTGGTGAGCCCCACCATCAGCTCCCCCGTGTGCCAGGAGCAGCTGATTGAGGCGGGCAAGCTTGTGGACCGCTCGGTGGAGAACTGCGTGCGCGCGTGCCAGGCGGCCACCAACGACAGCGAACTCCTGAAGCAGGTCAGCGCGGCGGCCAGCGTGGTCAGTCAGGCCCTGCACGACCTCCTGCAGCACGTGCGGCAGTTTGCCAGCCGAGGCGAGCCCATCGGCCGCTACGACCAGGCCACCGACACCATCATGTGTGTCACCGAGAGCATCTTCAGCTCCATGGGCGATGCTGGTGAGGGCTGGGCTGTGTGTCGTCTCTGGGGGGCTCCCTGCGGGAGGCCGGGCGTTTCAGCTCCATGGACGATGCTGGTGAGGGCTGGGCTGTGTGTCGTCTCTGGGGGGCTCCCTGCGGGAGGCCGGGCGTGGGGGTGAAGGTTGCCGGGAGAGGAGCCAAGTGCAAGGGCACTTGTTCCTCCGCCTCATCAGAAGCTTCCTCCCAGAGGAAGACTGCGGATGGCACTTGCTTAGCAATACGTGGAGACCTAACGAAGATAAGGCTGCACTTGGGTTTGTGATGGAGAATTGCACTGAATACTTTGTCAGTCTACACACTGAGGCCCGATCTGCCCACACCCAGCCCATCATTAAAGGGAAACAGGAAACAACGACTTTGCTATTGAGTCCGCTTGAGCAGGAGAGCAGAACTGGACTGTGCTGGGTGTCCCATAGCTGACCTCAAACGTAGACCTCCAGGTCTTTCTTTTGAGGTACCTCAGGATGGACTTGAACCTTCAGCCTTAGGGTTAGTAGCCCAGCTCTTTAACTGTTTGCATCCCCCAGGGACTCCCATCTGTCCCTCAAAATCTCACTACCATCCAGCCAGTATCGGCTCATAGTGACCCTAGAGGACAGGGTAGAACTGCCCCTGCTGGTTTTAGAGACTGTAGCTCTTTATCTTGTCTTTCTCCCGAGGAGCGGTGGGTGGTTTCGAACTGCCGCTCCTGCGGTTAGCTGCCCCGCTCGTAACCGCTCCACCACCACCACTCCTCAAGCTATCACTGCCCAATCTAGATTTCTCTCTCTAGAAAGCTTTGTATTCGGTCAAACAGATTTGCACTCCTCTCAACGTAAAGACTGACAGTTCAAGACCACCCCATGAGTCATACAAGCACGGCTGGTGGTCTGCTACCGAAAAGATGGGAGCCAGGAAACCCAGCGTGGAGCCCACTCTCACACATGGAATCACTGTCAGTCGGGATCAACTCGACACAAAACAGCAGCGCTTACCTCGCATTCAGAACCCGCTTACAGAAAATGCCTCATCATACATTCTGAATCATGAGCATAGAAATCAATTACTTCTAAATTTTGAACTAGATTATACCACTTAAGCAAAATCCACCCTGTTGATGCCATTTGGCCCTGGTAAATGGGAAACACAGACCCTAGTTGCATGCTTAAATGTGGAGGTGGTCTTTTTCAGAAAGTCATTGTCGTGCTATTCCAAATCCCCTTCAAACGGTTTAAGAAGCTAGGAACTCTCAAACATTCTTGTTGTCGTTGTTCATTGGCTTTTTTTTTCCTTTCCTGAAACAAAACTGATTTTTGAAAGGAGTTTAGCTGTACAAAGAGGTTTCCGATAATAACGAATTGTTGTATCCCCTTCCATAGCTGTCCCCATTTTCAACCTCTTTCCTAACCATGGAACAAGCCCCGGCTAGAGATGAGCTTGGTATCCCTATGAAGGAGGCTGCAGACATGATTCAGCTAGCACCAGTCTCTGCTGCTGGCCTCTAGTGTTCCAGCATCCCAGCTGAGAGACCACGTTGCCTTCAGACATTATGTTTTTGTTGGAAAAACTTTCCCCTCCCCTGATGTTACAGTCCTTTCGCATTCTTCCCCAGTGGCTTTTCGGAGCAGAAGAAATCCTTCCAGGTGGATAGCTTTATGTTTATTGTGGACTGTTAATACCTCTCGCTCTTCCAAAAGAGAAGCCGGAACAGAGTTAAGTGAAATTGCAGATAGACTAAAGCCCAGACAATGTGCAATGTAAGGTGAGCTTCAGTACTGGGGGGACCAGGGGGAGCCCAGAGAAAACGATGGGGCGAGCCCTCAGCCCGGGGAAAGCGCCCCAGTTAAGCACAAAACCCGGGTCTCTGCTTCCCGTTCACCAGAGCCAAATAGCACAGGCAGCGTGGATTTGACTTACGTGGTGTAATCTAACTCAACATTTAAAAGTAATTGTTTTCTGTGCTCATTCATCAGAACTTCTGAGGTGTTTTCTCTGAGTGGGATCTTAGCAGGAGGTAAACGCTCTTTTAAATATCGTATTTATTGAAAGCCAGTTCCTGTTTTCATCTTCCTAAGAACCCCTCTGTGGCTGTTGGTGCGCTTCAGCAGCTGCTGACTCGGGACGTCGCTGTCGGTCAGGGTAGAAGTGCCCTGGGGGTTTCTGTGGCCAGTCTGTACAGAAGCAGACCACCATGCTGGGGGTTCAAGTGACAGGCCTTTTGGCTCACAGTTGAGCTCTTACCCATTGTGCCACCAGGGCTCCTGGCTCTTTGATGACTTGTGCTCTGTTTGTCCCACGTGCTCATGAATTCAGCTTTGCTATGTTTGGGGTGTGCAATCCTGGTTTCCACAAAGAGCACCTTCAGCGCTGGGTCAAATTGGAGTGCCATGTTGCGAATAAGAGGCTGGAGATGAGGCTCGGTTCTCATCAGCCAGCTTGCCAGAGGAGGTGTGACGAGAGCACGTGGTTCGGTTTTAACTGAACGTTGTGAAGCTGGGAAACAGTGCCCTCTGTCCCGTCGTCTAGGTGAGATGGTGCGTCAGGCCCGAGTCCTGGCCCAAGCCACCTCAGACCTGGTCAATGCCATGAGGTCCGACGCGGAAGCTGAAATCGACATGGAGAACTCCAAGAAGCTTCTGGCAGCAGCAAAGCTCCTGGCTGACTCTACTGCTCGCATGGTGGAAGCCGCAAAGGTATTGCCTTAGTTTGAAAGAAAAGTGTCCTTAAGACGTAGGATTGGGAAGGTCCCGACAGGTTAGAGCATGACCTGCCAGGTGTGTACTTGGATTGTTTAACATCTCTACAACTCTGTAAGTTTGGTCAGGTGGGAGGAAGATCGGTGAGCTTCTGAATGAAATGATTTGTCAAGAGTGGTGCTGACTCCGCTGTAGACCACAAGCGCCCTGCTCAGCAAGAGCTCGTTTCTGCTGGGGCTTCGCCATTAGCTGAGTTGAAAACGATGATTCATTTGAACTCAAGGTTTTCAACAGTGCGATTGCCTGTGCCTGTTTTCTTCCTGCACCCTCAGTGCTGCTGTGCCCTCCATTTGACTCCCCAGCTATCAAGATTTTATATAATACAGTGTTTCCACTGCTGTTCTTCAAATCGGCAGTTTTAAGATAAGAGTGTGAGGAAAGTTGAGTCAGCTCTGTGAGCTTGGATAACTATACCACACCGCGTGTGATGTATGTCAAAACCAGGGATGTATAGGCAGGCGTGCAGACGTGCGGAGGCTACAGAGATACTGGGGTTTGCGTGGTGATTACTTTTTAAAAGGGGTTCCACCAGTTCTCTTCTTAAAATATTTTTAACCGTAACCCTGGTTCTAAAAATTCTTTATTGGACCATGAAGAGCCTCAGGGAAAATCTATTGAATCCCTTATTTGGCAGATGAGAAAATTAAAACTCACAAAGATTAAGCCACACTCAGACTGAGCCAGGTGCAGTTGTGTGGGGGTTCTCCAAACCAATGCGCTGAACTTATGAAATGACAAGACTTTGCTTTTTTGAAGTATTTTCATTGGTTTTTATGACATGAGACAGCATTAAGTGTTTTTGTAAAATTTTCTAGACTTTTGATTTAAAGTTGTCACTTGTTCTTTAAAATTGTGCGTTAAGGACTGGTCTGTTTGTTGAAAGTAAAAGAATATAGAGTGGTTACATTTCCAGTGAATATGTTTAATGTGGAGGGAGAATTTTTCCAGTCCAGATTAGTACTCCATTAACCGAGCTAAGTTCACTGCCATGGAATTAATTCTGACTTGTAGCAGTCCTGCGTAGGGCTTTTGAAGTCGTAAATCTTACCAGAAGCAGACAGCTTCATCTTTCTCGATCTTGCAATTCACAGCCCACCCCTTACCCAGCTGTGCCACCAGAGCTGTTCGTTCCCCATATTGGATACATATTCACTCCAAAAGAGATACTGCTGAGGAAGGACGGGGACCCCCCACATCACTGCAGAGGGTCCTGGTCATCAGCTGCTTGAAATGCAAAATTGAGGAGGTTGTACCACTTGAGACATTGATAAAAGAGTAGCTGAAAGAACATTCAGTGACCAGGAAAAGGGCACAATGCTTTTAATAAATGTGCAAAAGAATGCAGAAGTGGCCACAATAATCCTCTCACGCGTGAAATGATAAAATACGTTGATTCTGACTGATAGGGATTCAGTAAGACAGAGTGGAACTGCCCTGCAGGGTGCCTGCAGGAGAACATCTTTAGGAAATCAGAATGGCTAAGCTTCCACCTTTGGAGTGGCTGATCGGTTCAAAACACTGACTGACCTCTCAATTAGCAAGATGATGCTTAACCCACTGTGTCACCAGGGTACCTTAAATTTGACAAATAACGAAAAGACATCATTTCTTGTAAATTGGTGAATTTGGCAAAATGGCCATTTGGGAAATCTAGATTTTCAGAAATTTAATTTTTATCGATGTCACTCCATTGTCTTCTTGCCTATATGGTTTCTGCTGAGAATTCTGAGTTTGTTCTTAGTGGTTTTCCTTTGCCGGAGAATGTTCTTTTATCCCTCATGAGCCTCAGGGTGTTCTCCTTTCCCTTGGGATCAGAGAGACGGACGCGATCCTGTGTCGGGGCCTTCTCTTTGGATCTGTCCTGTTCAGTGAGTGTGGCTGGGGTTGAGCAAGCTCTCGTTCATGGTTTCTTGTGCTGCTTTCTCTGTAGGTTTTTTTGTTTCTTCTTTCGGGAGCCAGTGAGGTGGACATTGTTGTCTGTGAGGGTACCCCCATCGTCTGTAGGCTTCTTCAGGTGCCTTTGGTTTTTCAGTCGATTGAGCCTCTCATTGGTTTTATCCAAAGAAAGGTCTTCGGGCTCACTCATTCGCTTTCCCTTTTCTTCCGTTCTTACTCGGCTCCTCTAGCATGTGACCCAGATCTGCCGTCTTGCTGGTTCTTTTCTGGAATTCTACGTGCTGCGAGGCTTCTAGTCCCCGGGCTTTCCCCCAGCCTTTGAAGGTAGCTAGACGTCATTCTCCCTAATTCCATCTCTGATGCTTCCAGGGCCTCTCCTTTAGAATAATCCTTTGGGGGTGAGTGTTGCTCAGTTGTTTTAGCTGTTTTTCTTGAGTGTGTGTGTGTGTGTGTGTGTGTGTGTGGGTGAGAGAGAGAGAGAGAGAGAGAGAGAGCTCTTTCCAAGACACTGTGGTGTAGCTATTAACTTGGGTGGGTTGCCAGGTCATGTAGGGGTAGTTGGCTCTTCTGTTCCAAGATGAGACTGTCTTCAGAAAATTCATTTTAGCTTATTTTCTCCTGCACTCTGTCTGTGGTAGGCACGGTTGACTAGAGAAACAAATCTAGGGACACTCATGTATGTAAAAGAAAAAGCTTTATATCAAAGAGCAATATATTTAGAAAACATCCCAGCCCGGTCCAGATCAAGGCCATAAGCCTGATAGTGGCCCATATGTCCGATACTAGTCCATCAGTTCCTCTTCAGACTCACATAGCACATGCAATGATGCCAAATGCAGGAATATCACAGGCCGGTGCGTGGAAAGTCTTGTGGATCCAGTGGAAGCATCTCAGCGCTGGCTCCTCAGCAGGAAGGCGAAGCAGGGAGGGAGAGTGGTCCTCCTCCAGGGAGAAAGAGTACGTTCCAGGATCCTTCGAGAAGGCCACGCCCACACAGAGGCTTCAGACTGTGACCTGATTGGGAGGCTAGATTCCACCCCTTCACTCTTAATATCCTCAAATTGACACAAGATTGTGTAACTATCACACTGTCTTCCCTGCCTGTGAACACATATTTCCAGGAAGCCTTTGTAGAAAGAAACTTGATGGATACACATCAAGCTGTGGCCACAAAACCAGTAAACATTGTGGGAAAGGCGTTGAATCCAGGTGGTAGATATAGGTTGGATGTCCTCTTAAGTCTTTGTTGATCCAACAGAGTACAATTACATCCTCCCCTCAATCACTTAACCTTCCCCTACTTGAAACCCCACCTCCCCCCACCCCCATCTAAATAGATTGTCTTGCGTCTCTAGATGAGGCTCTTTAACTCCCATACAGAGTTGCAAGTCTCAGAAACCCTGCAGGGGCAGCTCTACCCCGTTCTTTAGGGTTGCCATGAGTCGGAATCAACTTGATGGCGGGGAGTTTGTTGTTTCTCGTGTCTATGGGCTGTGTCTTCCTCTCTCTCTGCCAGGATATAGGCTTCCCCCATAACCCAGTACCTTTGCATCCCAGCCCTGCTGGCTTTCCTTCCCCGGCCTCCCTGGGACCGTTGCTTAGCCTTCTGCATGTCCAGCAGCATCTCCTTATTGTCACTGTGGATGGCCTTCCCACCCCTCCACCCTGCTCCCTCTACCCCACCCCACCTGTTCATCCCCGCATCTTGGCCCTTTCACATCTGCCAAGGCCACGGGGAGGGCGGGGGGTCGTCGACATGTCTCTCCTGTCACAGAAAGTGCATTCTCCCAAAGAGGTCTGCGGTGGGTGGAGCGCAGGTGGCGTGTCATTTTGTTCTGACCACACGTTAATGTGTAGAGAGAATCAGGGCTCGGGTCCTCACCTGTTTCATTATTACCGCTGGGTTTCTGTCTGCTGCTTAGCGGTGCAGATTTGAAACACCCCTTCTTAGGCATATTTGTTACAAGAAGAAACATCCTTATCACAAAGATACCACTTGCAGCCTTTAACGTTCACTTCCAAATCCTCTCCATTCCTGGGGCCAGGGCTGGGAGGGTGGGCGGAGCACACGGAAGCCATGCATCCAGTCTCTGGGGAATGGTGCCCGGCGAACCAGTCCGAAGCTCTGCTTTCACTATTGCAGGGGGCTGCGGCCAACCCGGACAACGAGGACCAGCAGCAGCGGCTGAGGGAGGCGGCCGAAGGTCTCCGCGTAGCCACCAACGCTGCCGCCCAGAACGCCATCAAGAAGAAGATCGTCAACCGGCTGGAGGTCAGCAAGGCGGCGGGTGTGCTAGGACGTCCACCCTAGGTCACTTGAAAAGGAGGGAGGAAGGTCAAGTTAACACGTGGCTAGGAAGGAAGCAGAAATCAAGGTTAGCAGCCTGGTTGCATGAGTTAGGTAAACCGAAGGCATGGATACAATGCGCGAGGAGTTGTTGGCAGTTCTAGTTCCCTGGGAATACCAGGAAGCTCCAAGTCTGAATGGGCTTAATATTACGGAACAGCGTCCACAAATGGTTTGGTTGATAGCTTTACATTAGAAGGATGGTTTGGTTGGTTGATAGCTTTTACATTAGAAGACCCTTCCGCTGGAAGTACGAGGGGCTTCAAAAAGTGTGGGAACATTCCATTTTTTGAAATTCCATCTTTACGCACACATTTTGGAGCTCACTTGTCTATCTCTTTTGTTGGAGGCAATGAGTTTTCCAGGGTGTCCTGAAGGAAATCGGGACTTTGGGAGCCTAGAGAATGGAGGGTAAGATTTGGATGAGCAGGTATGGGAAGGGGTAGGAAGAAGTATTGTTGTCATTTAAAAAACATTATTCTATGAAAGAAAAGGTTTCCATGGGAATAGCCCTATGCTATGTAAGAAAATAACAATTCTGTCATGAATGCCGTCCTAAAAGGTCATGGGTTGGGCACTGGGAACCTGCTTTTTAAAGGAAGAATCCTCCCTTGGACAAGTAGCCATATATTGGAGGGAAATTGGCCTTTTGTTCTTGGACGCACAGAAGAGAATGAGCTGGAGAAGTTCTCCCCAGAGGCCATGTGCATGTATTTCTGAGCCACGCTCCCCTGCACGGGGTCAGGCACAGCACCAGCGTTGGTGGCCGGCCCCAGAAAGCAGCCTTTACTTCTTGTGGTCATTCCCCCCTGACAGCATCAGGGCATGGCGTGGCTTATCAGTGCCACCAGGGTCTTGGAATTGCTCCATGTCTCTTTGAAAAAGACGAATGAAGGTAGGCCTTCTGTTTTCAAGTCTGCTCACCTGCATCACTTGTCCCAGGGATGTAAACCAGAGATAAGAATCATCCCTGATTTGTCAAAGTCAGTCTTTCCCACCCCCACCCAGCCAGAGTTCTCTTTCTCACCTGGGTGAGCTGCCTTCAGTGCAGCCGACCAGGGCCACACCTTTGATGAAGTGGCTTCACACCTGGGTGTGTTTGCATACACAAACCCTGAGTCCCAGGCCGCCCTCTCTCCTTTCTAGGTGGCAGCCAAGCAGGCTGCAGCTGCAGCCACGCAGACCATCGCCGCCTCCCAGAACGCAGCCATCTCCAACAAGAACCCTGCGGCCCAGCAGCAGCTGGTCCAGAGCTGTAAGGTGAGCTTCCGGCTGCTGGAGATAACCCTGATAGCATCAGGATGCCAGGTGCCCTGGTAATCTGGTTAACAGAGCCCATCCAGTGCCCTAATCCAGTTTGCACTGGCTCCCATGTTGCAGGTGCACACACGTCTGCTTTTCGTCAGCTCAGTGTGGTGGGGCTGGGGCAGGGGATCGGAGCGAGTGTGTGTGTGTGCATGTTTTGCCAGCATCGTCTCACTTTTGTCCGGATTCTTTTCTTTCTTTCTGAGAGGCCAGATCAGAATGAAACCTGGAATTTCCAGAGTGCCCCTCTCCCTTTGGGAGCCTCAGCTCCACAGTTGGTCTTGACCCTCAGAGCAGTGTTTGATTTCTGCTTCCCAGTGAGGAGCCCTGGAGGAGTTGTCCCATCCCGCCTGCCCTCGGTGACTCTCATCAGTGACACCAACATATCCGTGACTGATGTGGTGGTGTTCCCAGTTGTTTTCCTTTGGTCTCTGTTCTCTGGTGACATGTGCAGGGTTGGGCTGCTGTGCCTTACCATTTACTTTAATCACGGGGCATGGTAGCACTGAGTCGACCTATGGGATCTCCTGCATTCCAGACATGTTCTTCTTTACCTTCAATATGTAGCACCAGTCCAATTTTTCCTGGGTCATCTGGATCAATCACACCACTCAGTACAGTGACACCCTTCCTGACCTCTTGATCCAAAGGCATGAGAAGCCCAAAGTGGCCAGGGGGCATTCTCAGCTGCCAGTTCAGTGGAATCCGTGCTGTGTTTCCCGGTGGGAGAGTTCCTTCCTTCGGGACCAGGACCTCCAGGCCTGAAGCACACAGGGTTGCTGGGACAGGAAGCAAAAATGCTGCAAGTGGATCACTGGGAGTAATAGTGAGTGGTGCCACTGCAGCTTCCACCCCTTGGCTCCTGGACCCGTGAATTCTGGCTATTGGAGACACAGCACCATATATTGGCTGCTGAATTAGAGCTTACACAGTTTCCTGGAGAGCATTGCCCCAGCCCCGCAAGTTGCTGCAACCCAGCTGGTGCCGTAATTTTCTGTTGTTTTCCGTTTGTTTTTCGGTGCCATGTTCAGGGGCCAGGGTTTGCTGTGATGAAGCCAGATCCCTTTAAGGGGGGCAATCAACAGCCTTGTGTCACATTCCCTCAGGATCCCGGGACCCCGCTCAGGATCCTAGCAGACACGAGCTCTGATTTGCTCACGTGTTGGCAGCATGTCTGGCTGGACACCGTGCTTGGTCAAGTCGAAGGCCACTGACAAAGAGGAAGCCCTCAGTGAGATGGACTGGCACAGTGGCTGCAGCAGTGGGCTCAAAGGACCCTGAAGATGTGGTGCGGGACCAGGTGGCGTTTCTTCTTTCTGAGTCTGAGGCAATTTGCTGACACTTAACAACCACAGACGGGGAAAGAAAACACGTCACTTGGCCAGGATGAGCTCAGTGTCCGCGATGACTCTCAGAGCCTGGTTAATGGCATGCAGGGAGGGCCGCACTGAAGGCTCACCTCTAGGCTGGATGAGGGACTAAGGGCTACTTGAAAGTAGCCGTGCCTCTGGGCCGGCTGATTCCTCCTCTCTCCTGCACTTTGGGACTTTCCCTTGGGGAAAGGAGAGGAGCTAGCTTGAAGAGAGCAAGCACAAGTGCGTAGAGTATGTGCTGCAAAGGAGGCAAGGGACGCATCGGGGATGCCGATCACTGGGGTCTCTCTCACTTGCAGCCATGGGGCCTAGGCTGCACTCTGTCTCCCTGTGGGTTATCTAGAGCAGCGGTTCTCAACTGTGGGTCACGACCCCTTTGGGAGTCGAAGGACCCTTTCACAGGGGTCGCCAAAGACCACATTTCCGATGGTCTTAGGAACCGAGACACAGCTCCTCTGTCTCCAGGCAGGTCCGTCCACATGCACATACGCCCACATACGGGGTCACCACAACATGAGGAACTGTATTAAAGGGTTGTGGCATTAGGAAGGTTGAGAACCACCGGTCTCAACCCTAATTCGAAACCCTAATGAGCTGAGGTACTATGAATTGCAATTGGGAGATTCTTTGAAAGCCTCATTACGGTGAATCATCTTCTGCCAAGTGGTTTGAGACCTTCAGAAGCACAGGGTAGGTAGAGCCTGTGGTGTGGAAGGAAAGTACCTGAGACTAGATTCAGTGTTCACAAGTACTTAGCCGGCTAAACACGTTGCCTAAACCCAAGGCTGAGGACAGGCTTGGTGGCAGGATGCATCTCTACCGGCTGCTGTGGAGTCAACTTGTGGCGCCCCCAGGTTGTCACCTTGGGGCCTGCCCGCCTCTGTGGGTGACTCCACCATGGCAGGGGTGCTCAGCTTGGGTTTCCTTGATTCCTTAGGCTGTGGCTGATCATATACCTCAGCTGGTCCAGGGGGTGAGAGGAAGCCAAGCGCAGGCGGAAGATCTCAGTGCCCAACTGGCCCTCATCATCTCCAGCCAGAACTTCCTCCAGGTAACACAGACCCGCTCACCCTGCTTGTTCCCAGCTGGGCTTATGACGAATGGGTGAATCCCCAGCCTTGGCAAAGCCGGCGCCGTAGAGCCCACCTTGAAGGCCCCCTCTTCGTGTTTCTGTTTTCAGGACAGGCAGGTTTAGCTTGGCAGAGCAAAATGCTAATATGCTGGAAACTTGCCCCAGGGAGACAGCATAAAACCCATTTTTCTTGGAGTAGCCTACGTATTTCCCCTCTAAGAAAGCAAGCAGGTGCTAACTTGCCAGTTGTGCTGACCAGGTTAGATTAGTACTAGTGACCGCGTGACCTTTGCTGGTTTCCAGAATACCTGATGCTCTTACGCGTGGATTGGTGAAAAAGTGGTCGATACAACTTCTCTAAAGAAGTGATTGCTCTTTGTGGCAATTGTACAGTTAATTAGTAAGTATTGTCCGGCTTGTGAGGTTGAGGGACTCGTTTTAAGGTAATTTAAGGAAATAATATTAACCTGTAGAACATCCCTCCTTTACATGCTTGTTGTGTGCAGACTTATTTTACTCTACAGCACTTCTTGTTTACCTGCATCTCATAACCCTCCGTTAGGAGAGCCTCTCCCTCAGCCCTTTCTAGTTCAGCCTACACTTGTAGAATCCAGTGATACATCTATTTGGTTAATTGTTTAAGTGCCAAAACTGCAATTTTGATGTGAGTTATACATGCACGTCTTCTTTTACATTGAAATTCGTTGTGCAGAGAAGTCTCTTTATTTAATGTAATGTTTTGAGCATGTGTTAGTTTGAATAAAAATGTTTATATTTTGGCATCATAAATCTGTAATGTGCAAAAAAATCTTTGTGTATGCCCATATCTCTGTTCTCTTGATGGATGAAGTAGGCTACGTTCCCAGCGATGGTGTGGTCAGACACCCATTTTTCTCTTTGGAGCGTCGAGCGCTGCGGGTTACACAGCGTTCTCCGCTGGGCGCTGCGAAGCTAAGACAGCTGTGCCGTCCTCCATGGTGGCAGGGCTGGGAGGACCACGATCAGGGCCCACGGGGTCCTGGTTCCACCCAGCCCTGGATGTTGTTTTTCCTCTTCTTTTATTTTTGCTACTATAGAAACATCAGGAGGAAAAATAAGTAGGAATGGCATTGCCAAATCAAAAAGGTGCATTTTCACCTTTCTTCATCTTCCACTGTAAGAGTGTCTTTCTGGGAGATCAAGTGCATCGAAACATGCAGCGGTACACAGAGAGCTCTTCTGACTCTGTCTTTTCAAAGATGGACAATTAAGCAGTGCGTGTGTAATAGACACAGATGTATAGAGATTAAATATAGATCTATGGGTTATAGATATGATGGAGCGTCAAAGAGTTCATAGAAAGGAGTTAAGAGATAGGAATTTTCCTACAAACTTTAAGAAGCGCTTTCATATGTTGCCAATTTGCGTACTAAAATAATTATTGCTTAACTTTGCATTTCCTTGGTTTTTCACAATGTTGCACTTTTTCATATGTTTGTTCTGTTAGTTTCCTGTGCTTTTTTACACGTTCACATACTGGTTTTTCTTGTTAGTTCTTTGGGTATTAAAAATATTAGCTTTGCCCATCTATTTACTACGTTATCCTTACATTGTTGTGACTTTACTAAAAAGCAATTTTATCACATATATTAATAGTCTTAATTAAAATTATGTATACTCTGAGCTATAAATTTCACTTCCAAGCATTTATTCAAAGAAAATTGTGTTAATGTACAAAGACTTAGCTCTCAAGTTGCTTAATACACCATTGATTATTTTATTTGGGGGTAAAAATGGCAGTGCGCCCAGTAGTGAGGGACAGGGAATGTGGGCAGATGTCCATCAGGGAACACGGTGTTGCTCTCGTGGAGCCCCGGTGGCACTTAGGATTGGGCAATGGGCCACTCACCACAGAGCTAGTGGGTCAAAGCACCAGCCCTGGGAGGAGACGGTGGCGGCTCTGTGCTCCCAAAGAGATACACAATCTCAGAAATCCCCGGGTTGCTATGAATCAGAATGTACTTGATAGATATGGCTTTATATAGCTATGAAAAAGAGAAGGTGGAAAACAAGGAGCTTAAGTACAGTAAATAGTATGGCCTTGTTTTTCTTTGTGGAGGGGGCAGGGATACACACACACACAGGCATCTCTACACAGTAAAATCATTTTGGACTGTGAAATGTGAGGTGATTTTATTTGATTCATTTGTCTGTATTGTCTAAACCGTCTAATCGGAGACGTGTCTGTGGCAAAGATTCACACCCATTCCGAGACACAAATGAACCCTACTCAATAAAACCCTATTGAATAAATTACTGTCTTTGAAGTCTGTTGTGGATTAGAATTCTAAGAAACTATCATCTCTATTTCAACGCAACTTAAAACCACCACCACCCCTGCCCCAGCCCCCACCAATATATCTCTTCCAAACACAACAAAATTCTAGAAGGTACTGATTTGGGGTGATAGCTGTTTGAGGGAAAATAGATGGTTTTAGTATGGTTTATTATTTTCTTTTGGGGGGCAAGGTAGGCGGGAGCCTCCACCAGTTTGTGGAAAGGTCCTGGCATTTCTCCCCACACTGACTGACTGGAGACCCTGCTGGTGAGTCTGTCCCTCTGAGGCTCACTCTCCAGGAGCCCGCTCACTCTCCGCTCCTCTCTCCACAGCCCGGAAGCAAGATGGTGTCTTCCGCCAAAGCCGCGGTGCCCACTGTGAGTGATCAGGCTGCGGCCATGCAGCTGAGTCAGTGTGCCAAGAACCTTGCCACTAGTTTGGCAGAGCTACGTACTGCCTCCCAGAAGGCAAGTGGAACCTTGTCAGGGGGTCAGCTTCTCAGGGAAGGGATTGCAACTTCTCACTGCTGGTGTGGACTGGGTCCCACTAGGGCCTGAGCGTGGCTGGACACGTTTCCTCATAGAGGTCTCCATCTATTTGCATGACCACTGGAGATGCCTTTTTACCAGTAGGAACGAGCATTTAGGAGCCCTGGTGGTGCAGTGGTTATGCATTGGGCTGTGATTCGAATGGTCAGCAGTTCGAAACCACCAGCATCTCTGTGGGAGAAAGACTGGGCTTTCTACTCGAGTAAATAAACCATCGCGGAAACCCACAAGGGGTCGCTGTGAGTCAGCATGGACTCGGTGGCAGTGAGTCTGGTTTGGGCTGTTTTGAATCAGCGTGAACCACTGACAGCCATTACCTCTGAGGCGTCACGTTCCGGTCAGAGGTGACTTTTGTTCAATGGTTTTAGCTCTCATTCTGCCTCCTCCCATACTGAGAAGTGACCCACTTTCAGTCTCAGGGTCCTCAATAGAACAGAAGTTAGAGACTCTGGGTCTTTGGCCCTGGTTAATTACGAAAGAGATCCCGTTGCAATGCTGTTAGGGTGGTGTTAGCATGATTTTCTAGTGGTTCTGTTAGCTTTCCCTCAATGAAACAATCCCTCTCTAGAAACCAGAGACCTGACACGCGAGCAAGGGGACAAGGTTCAAGGTGGTCTGAATTCATAATAGGAGCCGCTGTACCCTACAGCCAACGTGCAATAGGAGAGCTTTAGAAACGGACCAACAAAGGAGTCTTTAGACCGAGCGGACAGTCAGCTGGAAGCTTTTCGAGCTTCTGCACCAGAAGCACTGGGAGCTGTTGATTAGAAAGAAGGCCAAGTCCCGAGTCTTGCTTCCAGGCAACTAAATCGTAAGCTCTGCGGGTGGAGCCTGAGCATCCGACTCCCTGCCGCCGGTTTCTCCAGTGGACTGCATGAGGCCGCTGCTCTCGAACAGCAAAGCCCAGCTTGGGCTTCAAGCAAGGCTGCCCACTGGCTGCGGGAAGACACTATGGGAGTTTTAAAATACGTATCCATGGACGAGGGAATTCAAACAGTTCGTGGGAAATTTCCAATATCTTTCCATTCCATTTTCCCATGAACGCACGGCAGCCCTGTTGTGTATATGCACATGGGGGCCTCTGGCCCCAGACCAACACTCAGTTCTGACGGTGTCATTGTCTGCTTTCCTGACACTGCGCCTCGTGTGCGTCTGCAGGCACGCTGGTGCTGCACACCCCACTGAGGGAACAGGCGAAGGCTTGGCAGTGTTTGCGTCTGCCGCGGTACTATATGGATTGGGTGGGTGGCTGGTGGGGGTCGCAAGCAAAGCCTTTGGAGCCCAGGGTTTGGCGTGGTCGCAGATGATGAAATCGTCTGAGAAACAAATGGCTATTTTATCACCTGTACCATGGTTAATAAAACTCTAGAAATGTGTAGAGAGAGGACCACAGTTGATTCGGACCTTCCTCCGTTCACTGCGTGCCTCCCGCACCTGAGAGTGAGTTCCTATCACGAGACGGTACTCCGTCTCTAGAACCCAGGTGCAGCAAAGAAAGGATCCTCTTCGACTGAGAGACAAATGCCTGTCAGATTAAAACAACTTCAAGGAGATTTTAAATACCTCTAGTTAGGAGATAGGCATAACTGATTATGTAGGGAAGTCGGGGCTAAGGTTGTGACCAAGGAGGACTCTTGGGAAATACATCCTTCTACCCCTGCCTCCTCCAACTGGGTTCAGGACTCTCCAGGTGGAGAGAGAGGGGCATTTCTTTCCCTTTGCCCAAGCAGACTCCGTGCCATGTCTGGGCCTCACCTTCGTTCGCAGGCCCACGAAGCCTGTGGTCCCATGGAAATTGATTCAGCTCTGAGCACCGTGCAGACCCTCAAGAATGAACTGCAGGATGCCAAGATGGCTGCCGTGGAGCGTCAGCTGAAGCCACTGCCCGGAGAAACGGTGAGATGCGAGTGTCCGCTGGAGGGCGGGGCGCTATCTTTAATTACGTTCACCTGGAGGTGTTTTTAGGCATTGGCTTCAGTGTGCACGGCCCTCACCGTCCCAGGAGACATGCCCTGAGTTTTAGAATATAAGGAGGCTTGGGGGCATCAAATTCACCATAGAACTATTCAGGGTGCATAGGACCCATTGAGAAAACTATTGACTAAAGAAGCAAGTCATCTCGAGTTATAAAGACAGGAAATTGGGCTCCGATTGGTGAAGCCATTTGATAAGAGTCACCAGCTAGTGGCAGCAGCAGGATAGGCCCTGCACTGCATGGAGGGCAGGCAGGACGTGGAGTCTGCCTTTGTGTGAAAGCAACCAGTCAGCCAGAATGCAGGTAACACCAGCGACTTTTGTAAAAAGAGTATTTGTGCCCCATCCGCTGCTTTGGGTGAAAATATGTACCCTGTTTTACCATATGGAGAGGCTTTAATAAGTTCGTGGCAAAATGGAATCAAAAGATTAATGGAATTTTTCCACGAACTTTTTGACGCCCCCAGGGATTGTTGGCTGTAATGAACCAGTCACTGCCTCTTGGGGGCAAATGCCATGGCTGGCAACGCGCACCTGCTCAGCTCTCTTCTGTACCTGCAGTGTGCCTCGGGCAGAACCTCCTCCTGTGGTCATCAAATAAGTGTCCACGCTGGAGGCCTTGGCTGGCTTTGTTCTCAATTATCTATCCCACGAACAAAGCGAGCTGACACGCTGTTCATGGGAAACCAGCACTTTGCCCATTTTCATGATCTCCTTGACCGCCGCCAAGCCTCACTTCCTATTGCCTTGCCTTTCGGCTGGGACGCCTCAAAGTATAATGAGCAAATTGAACCGTGTTCATGGTCCCACGTGCCAGGAAGGTGGTGCGGCTGGATGTCTGCCCACTTCCTGCCAAGACATAATGAATTCCCGTGAAGGATTTGTTACAGCCGTCCTAAATTAGCTTCGACACGGCATCATACTAATTGGCTACCATTTGTCAGGTACCTGTGTTAATGCTCTGAAACCTTCTGAGCTAGGTATTGTGCGACCCTCCGGAAGCCGAGACTGGGAGAGCTTCGGTGCTTGTCCCCTCTCACAGCTGGTAATGTGGGGGTGGGGGCGGGGGCGGGGCTGTCCTTTCCCCTGCAGCAGCCAGGACTGCTTCCCTGTCATTGGTGTATGGTAGGCGAAGCAGCTGCGGGCCCAGGTGTGACCAGCTGAGACCTCATGGGCTGCCTCTCCTAAACTTTCTTCCCCTTGTTTATTCCCCTAGCTGGAAAAATGTGCCCAGGATCTGGGAAGCACGTCCAAAGCGGTGGGCTCCTCCATGGCGCAGCTGCTCACCTGTGCGGCGCAAGGCAACGAGCATTACACAGGTGAGCCCCTCCCCAGCCCGCCCCGCCCTTGAGATGCCAGGTGGCCAGGGGCAGAGCACCAGTGGGGGAGATGGCGGAGGGGAGTGGAAGTTTGACTCATTTGATGGTTATGACTTCTTTATTTTTCAGCAGTTCAGTATATTTTCGGAGCATTTTATTCTGTGCTTGATACTACAATATTCCCTTAAAGCATTTCCAGGTCCCTCCTATTAGACATAAGTGGATAGAGGTATAGATGCCTGAGATTATCTCTGCATCGTGAAATCCTACAAAAATCTCCTAGGGACTCCTAGCGACCCTGTAGGAGAATTGCCAGGGAGCAGACAGCCAGAACACTGGGAGATGAGAGAGGAGGGGTGTGTTCTGGCCGGGACTGTAGTCAGTGCATGACACGGCACGTGGACAAAATGTAGGTGGACAGCTGACTTGCTCTCTCTCCCAAATCACAATCAGACGTGAAACGAATCCAACTCTGAGAGTGCCCGCTTTACGGCTGCAGGGCCTCTCCTGCCCCTCACTTTGTTACAGAGCCTCGTCCTAGTGTGACGAAGACCACCCACGGCACTGGAGCCCACTCGGCTAAAGGCTGCTGGTGAAGGCTGCGTTCAGTAGTGGCCTGCAACCATCCGCTCAGCCCTTCAGAATCTAGCTGTTTCCAGGTTTAGTGTGTGAGACAGATTGATTTGAGTATCTATGCGCACAGACGTTCTACCGAGAAGCCCTTGTAGCTCCCTATCCCAAAGAGCTCTGGGCAGCGATTCTAACCTAGACTTAAGAGACAGCAGGTCTGACCGTGGCCCTGCCCCTGAAAGTGTGTTTGTGGAGAAGATGCTTCTCCACAGGAGAAACACCCGTGACCTGGTTCGGAGGTCAGCATGGTGGGTAGAAGTATGTG